ATGCACAATGAATCTTTCACAATGTCTACACTTCGTATGTTAAAATGAGAGGATTCGTGAGCACGCAATTTCAGCACTGCTGTGAGTAGATTCTAACTTAATCACCTCTGATTGGCCATTGCGTTCCAGAAATCAACAGCTGAGTCTGTGATTGGCTACATTGCAACCCTTTAAACACGTGTTATAAATAGAAACTATGCCTAGCTTACGCATGTCAATCATTTTAATGTTAACATTAGTTGTTCTTTTTGTGCAACAGATAAATAACAATTTATATGTTTTAGACACTTTTAGATAATTTCTATTTTGCGGGAGTCCCGCGAATCATTTTATTCTCCCGCATCCCGCACACACACACAAGTCTCTTCCCGCCCCGCACCCGCACTCGCCCATCAAGAGTTGTCCCGCGCCGCACCCTGTTGCGTTGGGAGTGCAGGTCTCTACCCTGAATATCAGCGGAGATCAGGACAACTAGATGAGCCCCAGAGACAGATCCCCAGTGAAGACCTTGTCTCCTAGACGGCCACCGGGACAAGACCACAGGAGCCAGATGAGTCCTCTGCACAATTTGACTTTGCTGCAGCCTGGAATTGAACTGCTGGTTTCGTCTGGTCAGAGGAGAACTAGTCCCCGACTGAGCCTGGTTTCTCCCAAGGTTTTTTCTCCATTCTGTCACCGATGGAGTTTTGGTTCCTCTGGCTTGCTTAGATGGGGACACTTAATATCCAGTGATATCGTTGACTTGATTGCACAGATACTATTTAAACTGAACTGAGCTGAACGATGATATCACTGAATGCAATGATGAACTGCCTTTAACTGAAAATTGAGTGTTTACTATTGTCATTGTGCATTATTGACACACTGTTTTCCTAATTAATGCTGTACAATTGCTTTGACACAATCTGTATTGTTAAAAGCGCTATATAAATAATAAAAAAACAAAAAAAACAAAGCCAGATCAGCAGCATCTTCAAACAGCAGTTGTCATGAACTTCATTTCATTATTATGAGCAGGGAATAAAGCTGCAAATATCTCATTTCCACTGACAGAGGCTCTCTGACCCCAACTGTTTGATAAATCTATAAACCAGAGTAAAGATGGCCAGTGTACAAGGCACTGTTGCAGAAATAAACTAGATTAATGGAGTGAAAATCTCAACTCAAATCGTTAAACTCTGACACAGATGTTGGGCAGTTGGCGTTGATTTCAGTGTCATGTGAACATGTTCAGAATCTTACGAAGTTTGATTACGTCTGTGTTTTTGGAAGTCTTTTCTAAAGATGCTGTTGTTTGGGTGTTTTAGCCTCGCCTCCACCAGCTGCCAATCAAAAGACATGCTTTAACACAATGTCAAAGTTTTGGAAAAATTTCTAATGCTGTTTAGTAAATACATTTATTTTAAATTCATTTCAAGAAACAACTGTACAGACAATAAACATTACCGCAACAATGCATTCGTGCATATTTAAAAACAATTTACAAAATGTGAACAAGAATACTAACATGCATACAAAAAAGTAAAAAAAAAAATCTGTAGGCTGATGATTGTATGATTCAGTTTCAGTGCTGATTGAACATATTTCAGTGCTTTAGTTCCTGTAGAGAAACAGATTAATCTCCCACGGTTCATGTGTCAGATTCTCCAGCAAAGTTCGGGTTGGTGAACGCAGGCTGTTAACAGATTGTAAAAAAAGTTTAAATGCAGAAAAAATGTTTATAATGTTTACTGTCATCAAACATGTTGAACACTCGTTAGGCAACTTTCTCTCATTCAGGTTAAACACAGGGTAAATTGAGACGTCAAGTCATCGATCACAAAACTTACCACATCAGTATTCTTGGTTTCGTGTTTGAAGAAGCTGATATCTCCTGTTTTTACGCCCTTCACACTAAAGACATAGTACATCCCGGCCAGGATCAACGCTGCGCAGGCGAGCGCTCCGATAACGGCCCCCGCGATCAGACCGCCGTCCACTGCATCACAAACAACAGCTTCAGTCACAACAGCACATGAACACTGGTGTGTGTCAGTAAAACCGCTCAGTTCGTGAACTCACTCGGTGACGGGTCAGTCGGGATGACGATCCCATTATCATCGGTCACATAATCTGAAAACAAGAGAAAGTGCTATTAGAAGCAGGGCATGGAATCAGCTGTCCAGTTTTGGACTGGATGGGTTTTTCTGTCACGTGACTGAACTGTGTGTGTGTGTTGTGTGTTTTGAGTATGAGCTGTGTCTGTATAAAGGTTTTAGATCCGGAGCGTCTCAGCTGTTCAAGTCACTAAACTTTAAGAAATGAAGCCGTGTCGGCTCAAAAACGGTTTGAGAGTTTGTCTGAATGAGGTGAACCTACACTGCCGGTGTCGACACACGAAGCCTCTCTTCTGCACACAGTTGTTGTCGTTCCACGTGCCGTCGTGATACATCTCCACGCAGTTCTCTTTCCCCACGTCGCCATCGTGAAACGCTTCGTTGGGTTCTCCAGGAGCCCAGTTTGTGAAGCCCAGAGATGTCAGATCCGTCCAGGCCCATTCATCTACAATCAGAATGGGCACAAGATCAGCACATGGGATCAGAAATCACATAAAGGATGAGGGACAGAGGGATCATCTGCGTACATGAGCCGCCTCTGGTGAGGCCGATCCAGACGTAGTGGTACTTGGTGTAGTTGATGTTCCTGATGAACTCCACCTCGGCTCGACTGTGAATCGAGGCTAATTCGCCTCCGTTTACCTCTTGGCAGATGTGTCTCGCCTCTGGCCACGAGTAACCCACTTTTCCGTTATATGTAAAGTAGCAGTACCGTCCATACGGCCACCAGCCCGGCAAACACTTCCCGTCTCCAGGAGCCGGCGTCGACGGAGGCTTTTCTGCAGAGAGATTGGAGACAGGTGTTTGTAACTGATATGAAGCGCTTGACGCTTGTCCGTGGCTTGGTCAGCTTTACCTTTAGTGATTTTGCAGATGTAGGGCTTGGTGGCGGCGCAGGCCGTGTCGTTCCAGGTGCCCTGGATGAAGAGCGAGGGAGCATGCATGCTGACGCACCCTTCTCCCTCGTGATCGGTTGGTTCCCCCGGGCCCCAGTGCGTGAAGAACACCGGCCAGCCGTCGGACCATTTGTACGAATCGCTGCCAGCCTGCAGAAGAGGAGCAAGGCTTGAGTTCTGTTTAACATTAGTTACACTCATTAAACTGTGAGGAAGTACCAGCCGGCGGAGTCCGATCCAGGCGTCCGTCTCGCCCTGCTGCACGGCTCCAGATATGAAGGCCTGGTCATAGCTCATGTCCACACTGGCCAGGTTCCCTCCCTCCTTCACACAGGCCTGCTGAGCCTCCTCCCAGCTTTTGGGCTCAGACACCAGCTTATAGCAGCTGCTGTACCAGGTGATGTATCCGGATGGACACGGGGTGCTGGTGGGCGGCGGGACCGGAATGCTGCTCGCTGCGGAAAACGGTTTAGAGTTGGGTTAAACTTCAAGCTATCTCAGAGTTAAGGGTCATCTTTTGAAAGGTCAAACAATTCTGGTAACTGGTAACATAAACTCTTACCATGTGATTCCCAGCCCTGTTTCTAGAGTGTTTATATAGCTACATTTAGAATGAAGACACAAGTGAAGATGTCAGTACATTTCTTCATAGAGCACACCCATCCTCGCTCGTGGTCACAGTTCTCATCGTTCCAGCGGCCCGTGACCAGGTGATTATGGGAGATCGAAGCGCAGTGTTCCTGAGAGAAAGACATCAGAAATCACCATCAGCTCTTCTGCAGGTGCCATCAACTAGCTTTATCTTTAAAAAATACTATAATTACATATTACATATCTATCTACAACACAACAGTAATTCCTCACCTCCCCATCAGCGTTGTTTGGCTCTTTATCGGCCCAGTTTGTGTATAAGACCGGATTGACTCCATCACTCCATGCAAACCTCCCTTCATGCAGCCTATCAGATAAACCGATCCAAACAGGTACAACCAGATCCCTGAGATAACTAGCCACAAAATCTGGAGAGAGGGTCAAAATCTCACACATTGGGACAACATGAACTAATGTTTCCTGAAGGACAGCGTTTGCATGGACTTTGAATCTGACACGTCACTGTTGCTGGATATAGATCATTAAATAGATGATAAAAAGCAAACAGAGAGCATGCCTAAAAGTGAAACGAGCTTACAAAACAAAGTTTGAATGGAGTTAAAAAAAAAAGTAAAGAAAGGAAAGAAAAGTTCGTTAAGACAATATTTAACAACCATGTTTACCAAGCCATCATAATAAAAAGAGGAATTTCAACTTTGGGCTAAAATTGCAAACAGTGTACTTCAACATGATTAACAACTCTATCAACCCTCTATTAACAAGGGAGGGTCTGCTATTATAACATCCTACAAAGTACCGTTTTCATTCTGATCATCGATGATGGCGAGATCTCCTTTCTGCTGTCTGCACCAATCCCGTGCATAAGTCCAGTTCGCCTTGATCTCAGACTGATGATAGTGGTTTCCTTTGAATATGTAGCATTTGTTGCGGAATTTCATCCATCCTGGAACAATCAAAATCACAATGTTTCTTTAGGAAAAATAAAATCACCGAACCTTAGCCAGATTAGCCTGACCAATGCCTGTCCTTGATTCATGCTTTATGTCTGGATTTATGCATGTTGTTTCATGTCAGCCGTACCCTCGGGGCAGTTTCCCTCCCATGATGCCGTTGGAGGCGGCGGCGTGTGGTCGTTTCCTGGATATTTTTTACACACGTAACCAGCATTGGCGCGTCCACAGTTTGCATCATTCCACGAACCTATTGAAAAAAAAAACATTCACATTTAAACCACTTGGATCTCTGAATCCTAAAAGCATCACATGTTAGTAAACAAATAAATACAGCTATATTTGATAAATGTTCAAACAACACAAAATGTGAAGTCTGTTCTGCACAATAAATGGACTATCTGACTTCTGTATTTTTTAAACTAGTCATTGTTAAGCATTGACTGACACAGCATTTGGATTGTGAATTTTATTCTTCTTGTTTACTTTTTGTTGTACTGGTTTCTGAATGAGTTTATAATTCTTATTTATTATGTGTTATATATTGATATATTGTAATGTTTTGACAAGCATCCATTAAAAGAAACATAATATGGCAGCATTATTATATACCAAGAATATGACTGACGAAGGCAACAAGCCGAAACGTTTGTCATTCGTTTTTATCTCCTGCTAAAATAAAGAGATTTAGAGTGCAGACCTTGAGTAACGTTTGATATAAGAAACAGGTCTTTGCACCTACAAAAGCTGGGAGAGCACGGTGAGTGTTGAGAGGTCGGCCTTCCATTACATTGACTCTCCCATTACACAGACTGTTACATGTCACCCCGGACTACATTTCCCATGTTCCATTTCACTGATTACACTCACCTGTAGTCAATCACACACACTACATAACATCCACTCAGACCCTTCTCAGATCGCAGAGTATTGCTAACATTTATCCCTGTGATAGCGATAGCAACATTACGGAGCCATTCCGAGTTTTTCTGAGTCTAAGTCTAGTCTAGTCCTGTTCATTGCCTGGTTTATCCGTGTCTTGAACCTAGCCTGTTTGCCTCGTCCTGTCTGCTCTCTGCCTGCCTTGGACTTTAGCCTGTCTTGGATTATCCCTTTGCCTTGCTGTTTTGGACTTGGTTTGCACCTCGCCTGAACTCTTTCCTGTTTGTGGGTTACCCGTTTGCCTCACCCTCTGGATTACATTCGCCGTCGATTGACCCACGCCTGTCTTTGGATTACTCTTTCGTCTTGCCTGAGCTATACCTGTTGTTGTTGTCGACCCATGCCTGTTTTATGACCACATCTTTGAATAAAGCTTTGCAGATGGATCCGCACGTCTCTCGTCTTAGTCTCCCCGTTACAAATATTATGATGGAGATGATTAGGCTTTTCAAAAGTACAGTGGTTAAAAACAAAAACAAAAACAATGTAAGTTGTACATTTACTAATTTACTAATGGGTTCTCCGGGACCCCAGTGCACATACGTAACCGGAGACAGATCGACCCACCTGAACACAGAAACAGCTCTATAGGACTGACTGTCATGCCAGAGAACACGTTAAAGACACGTGGAAACAAATGCTACTAATATTCTCTTTTAAGGCTTACAAATACTCTCCTCCCGCAACCCCAAACATTCTCATTCCTATCCAGGCCGCAGCCGCCTGACCGGGGCCCACCTGAAAACAACACATAATCAGACCAGTGGTTTCACAGATCACGAGTCATTCATTTTTAATGTGCAGTCTTACGAGGATTCATGTCATTTCTCAAGTCACTCCTAAAAATCACTGATCAAACATTCAAAAGCCTGGAGCTTTCGTACCAGGCTGACCACGAAAGACTGCTCAGCTTCATCAGCGATGGACACCAGATGAGCTTTCTCTTCATAACACCTCACAAGGGCCATGTGAAAGTCCACGATATCTGTGTCATTATAGTAATAACAGACGCCGTTGTTCTTCCTCCAGCCAGGGTTCGATCCGCACTCAGGAGCTGAAGAAAAAAAAACATTAATAAACACCTGCAATAAATAAACTAATTCTGACCCCACATGTACAAATACTTTTGCATGTTATTTTGCTATTTGCTCCATATTTTTGAAAAGGAATAGCATTAAATTTCCTACATTTCTCAGCATTTTCCAAACACAATCTCAGATCAAAGAAATGGAGCATGAAGGTTATTTCACTGGTAATAACTGATTCCATTGTTACCTGGTACAGGCGGAGGCTCCGGCGGTATAATGGGTTTCTTTCCTTTAGCAATCATGCAGATCCAGTCCTGGTGGGCATCACAGTTCAGGTCGTTCCACCAGGACGTCCCGTTTTCAGTGGTCACCATCTCCACACAGTTTTCTCGGCCATTGTGATTATTGGGTTCACCGTGGCCCCAGTTTGTGTGACTGACCGGCGTCCCATCGCTCCAGTGGTAACCTTAGAGAAGAGAGGTTAGAAACCGCTCGATCCAACTACAAGCGATTCTCCTGGTCACCAGCGAGCAGACGAACCTCCCTCCACCGGGTTGACGCTCAGTCCAATCCACTTGGTCTTTCCCTTCGAGTAGCTGGACAGGAAAATTTCCTCCTCTGGACTGTGGATGCTGACCAGGTCTGCGCCGCGGGCGAGACAGTCGTCTCTAGCCGCCTGCCAGCTCTTCTTCTGGGCAAAGTCCACTGTGAACAGCTGTGAAAAGACCAAGTGGACCATTAAAAACACATGAACTTTAATAATCACCATTCTTAAAAATGGCTTATCCTGGGCTTTTGCAGGCAGCAGCGATTTGAAACGTCATGTACATATGAATGGAACGCTATTTCACAAAACCACCGGGTTTATTAGGCTAGAGAGTGTGGTTTTTGTGGTCATGTAAATGCATGAGAACATTCAGATGCATATTTATTGGAAGTTTCTTATTTTTAAATGTGTGTGCATATAAATACACTTACACATGTACAAATTGTGCCCAATCCTGTTCCTGTAGATCTACCTACCTGCAAAGTTCAGCTCCAACCCTGATCAAACACACCTGTCTGTAATTATCATGTGCTCCTTCAGATCCTAATTAGTTGGTTCAGTTGTGTTTGGAGCTGAACGTTGCAGGAAGGTAGATCTCCAGGAACAGGATTGGGCACTCCTGATCTAGATGATTCAAGAGTTTTTCTATGATAGACAATGGCGGTATAAGCGGCATCCTTCAGCTTTTTGAAGCGTGTGCATGTGAAGAACTTAACTAAAGCTGCTTACTGACGGCGGCTCATGTATGTGCAGTGCATGTAGACGTGAACGCCGCTTCCTAACAATACCCCTCTCTGAGGTGTGCATCAGTCAGTGGAAGGCACGGCTTAGATCACCCTGTAGCAGTTTCTGAAGTGAGGCTCTCCGCCCCAGTCGCTCGTGCACCCGGTCACCGGAGGCAGCGTCGGAGCTCGAGTCGGTGGAGAGATGCCGTTACAAGGAGCTTCACACACAAACGGGAATGATTCTTTACACTGTTTGTTATTCCAGAATCCTGCCAGCGGGCTGGTCGACATCGTGACACAGGATCCAGCAAGGTTATCTAGAGATACAGTGAAATCGGATTTGATTATGAGCGGTGATGCAGTTCTCAGGTGTAACGTCTAGGACAGAAGGATCTGTGGTGTGAACTGTTGAATTACTTGGCTCGTTGCGGCCCCAGTTGGTGTAGGTTATTAAAGCGTCGTTGTCCCAGTAATAGTCGACACCCGCCACCCCTCCTCTCGCCCACAGTCCGATCCACCAGTCGCCGGAGTACCGGCTCATCAGAGCTGTGAAGTGAGCCTGTTCGTACCTGCAGACGGCGACAGCAGCTGAGTGACTGGAGCTACACGAGCACAGAAGCAGTTTATGACTATAAACAGGATCAGACACTCACAGGTCCAAGATATGCAGCAGAGTGCTGCTCCGACTCTCACAGAACGCTTTGGCTTCCTCACGACTTTTAGCAGCTTCTTCAAACCAATAGCAAGAGCAGCCCTACACCAACCCTACCCCTAAACCTACCCCTCACAGGAAACTGCTGGCAATTTTTGAATTTCATAAAACACCGTTTTGTATGTTTTTTAAGCCTTTTGTTTTACGGGGACACAGGAAGTGTCCTCATAAACCATGTTTACGTTGTAGTACCCATGTCATTATACACATTTGTGTCCTCATAAACCATATATACCTGTACACATTTACACACACACATTTACACACACACACACTCACACTCGCACACATTTACACACACACACACACACACTCTCTCTCTCTCTAATACACACACGCACATTTACACACACACACATTTACACACACACACACACACACACACACTCTCTCTCTCTCTAATACACACACGCACACACACACACACTACTCATAGATGTTTGGGCTCGATTTAATGAAAGAAATCCTCTCAAGAGCTTGTGAGGAGCCTCTGTCTGTGAGAAGATCAGATACGTTCAGTTTAGAAGGTTCTGATGGTGGTTCTGTCACAGGAGTATCCAGGTTCTGTGGACAGGACGAGTCCAGAGACGCGTTTGTTGGGGACGCTGATCTCAGCGCAGTATGTTCGTGTTCTGCCGCTGGAGTGGAACGGTCAAGCAGGGCTGCGACTGGACATTTTGGGCTGCTTACCGGACTGTGAGCTCAACCAAAGCTTGATTCAGAAGATGAATCATCTTTAAAACTGAATTAGAACTATAATTTATCCCAGTCTGTTCTCAGTGTAAATTAAACCAATCTGTTTCCTCTTTTTTTGGCTGTTTTTCAGACGCTGTGACTTGCAGTGCAAAACCCAACCTGGACCACTCTGTAGACAGAATGACGTAATTATCGAGTCTTGAATATCTGAAACCCTGGTTAACTCTTAATGTACTGTCAGTGGCAGTGGTTCATGATCCACAGCGGCACATCTTGTGTCTCCATTATTTAACACATTGATTCAAATAATCAGAGCGATAAACCTGGACATACAGAAGGTGCTGTGGATTAACAACTACTGGTCTAAATGTTCTGACTGGAAATCCTGCAGTTGTGCTATATATGTTACCCATGTTATGGAAACTCATTTTTTGGGTTTATTTAATTTTGCTTTGGTTTCCTGTTTGTTTCAGGGTTCACTGTCCTTGCTGGTTGTGCCAGGGAGCCGTATTCTGTGTACGGGACAGACATGTATCGCGGGGTACGAGTATAATCGATTATAACCCGACCGCTTCAAACTAGTATGAGTGTCAACCATGCATTTTTTCCTCATTATTTATTTATTTCCAAACACCCTAGTTGTTTGGAATTTTGCTTGGTGAGCTCATCAACAATAATAACAAACATTAAAATGCATACAGTATATAAATACATACACATACACATACACAACTATCTATGTCCTATCAATTATAAGGAAAACTTTTTAAGCTGTCTTAAGAAAAAAAGCCTTTGATGAGATTTTTTAATAATGCCTCTTAGGTTGTCGTCCCACTTTAACGTTGCAGAGATAGTAGTCCCGAGAAACTTAAAACATTGAACATTTTCAATGTCCTGACCATTAATAGTCAATGGCAAAACAGCATTTGTCCTCTGTCTGAAATCAAACACCATTTCCTTTGTTTTTAGGACATTCAACTTCAAATTATGAGTACAACTCCATTCGAACAGTGTAGAAGCCTCCCTTCTATAGTCCGATTCGTTATTATTTGTAATTAAACCAATCAATGTAGTATCATCTGCAAACTTAAAAATTTGCACTGATTTACAATGTGGAACACAATCATTAGTGTACACAGAGTACAATAATGGTGACAGTACACATCCTTGTGGGGCCCCCACACTAATTGTTTTGAGACTTGAAAGTATATTATTAATTTTAACTACTTGTGTTCTGTTCTGCAAAAAATCCAAAAAGCAAGGGAGTATTGAATCCCCAATCCATGTCGCCATGGAACGGCGCCATCTTGGGGAAAAAAACATGATTCATGACTGTCATTTGTTTCAGGACTCTAATATCTGTGCCGCTGCGATTCACGCTGGAGTGGTTCTCAATGACATTGGAGGAGACTGCACTCTTCTCAAAGCTGAGGGTCAGAACTTTTACAGCGGATCCACCAGAAACGGCATCGTATCCAGACAGTAAGCCTCCAGTCTTCTCTGAGATACCTGCTTGTTAAAGAGTCGCTTTAGAGTGAAATACGCTGTGATGTGTCGCAGGTTTGATGGGCTCTACTCTGTGTCGTACCACTTTACTGATGGAGGTGAGACACAATTTTCTTACTAGTCACAGCATCATTATTTCATTGCAAAAGCTGCTTGGTCTGAATGACGTGTCTCTTCAGAGCTCAGGTGTTCTGGTCCAGACTGGTTTGAGTTTGGAGAGTTCTGCTATAAGCCGTTTGAGGAGAAGAAGACGTGGCACAGCGCAAGAACGGCCTGCAGGCAGCTGGGAGCCGATCTGGTGTCGATCCGGTCCATGACAGAGCAGAGCTGGCTGGAGAGTTACCTGTACCAGGGTACGTGTGTGCATTTACTAGCTCATTTAGGTGCAAATAAATGCAGTTATATCCATTTAATTCTCTTCCTTTCCCATGTGCTCGTGCGACATGGCTTTGATCGTATTTGTGGAAATGAGAGGGAAGGTTTTAACAAAACACTAATGATCACAGGAGACGTTTAGACGTACATAGCCAAATACACACGTGTGTGTGTGTGTGTATTAGTGAGTGTGTGTGTGTGTGTGTGTGTGTATAAGAGAGAGAGTGTGTACAGGTATATATGGTTTATGAGGACACTTCCTGTGTCCCCGTAAAACAAAAGGCTTAAAAAACATACAAAACGGTGTTTTATGAAATTCAAAAATTGCCAGCAGTTTCCTGTGAGGGGTAGGTTTAGGTGTAGGGTTGGTGTAGGCCAATAGAAAATACGGTCTGTACAGTAGAAAAACCATTACGCCTATGGAGAGTCCCCGTAAACCACAAATACAAGTATGTGTGTGTGAGTGTGAGTGTGTGTGTGTGTAAATGTGTGTGAGTGTGAGTGTGTGTGTGTGTGTGTGTGTGTGTGCAGGGCCGGATTTATGCATAGGTATTCTAGGCACATGCCTATGCTCGCTTATCTGGGGGGGGTCCAAACACAATGAAGAGAGAGATATATAATTTTCTTTAAACTATGGGCAATCTACAACAGTAAAGAACCAAAACCCGTGGATGTTGATGACGCTGTTCTGGGGGCAGTGAAGGACCAAGCTGGAGTCCTGACATGCGTATGTTGTGTAGAAACCTAGAGTACAACACAAGAACAAACTCAGCAAGGCTCAAGAGATTCATGGCACATGAGAAACAGAAGCCAAACGTACCATCATGCGGCGGAGGAGGCTCGGGTGTGTTCCCTGAAAAAGCGAAAAGGTGTATTTTTTAAACATTAATACTTCAGTCAATATTATTTCTGAGAGAATGAAAGGGGCAGCGGAACGTACCGCGGTGCTTGCAGATATATCCTCTCTTGTTCTCACAGTTATCGTCGTTCCACGCTCCAGAGTTGATTAAAATGGACAGGCAGTCTTCATTATAATAATCATCGGGGTTTCCTTTAGCAATAAATGAGAGGCGCAGATTATCTTCTCAATTAAACTTAATTTTGACTCATTTAATAAAAAGCTTAAAGGGTGCTTTATCGTCTCAAATCTTTTCACAGCTTCACCTGAAGCCCAGTTTATATAGCGGAACGGAGAGCCGTCTGTCCACATCCAGCCTCCCTCGGTGATGGAGTCATGCGCTCCCATCCACAGAGAAACTCTCGTGGGAACCGACTGGATTTGAGCTGCGCATGAACAAGAGTTGTGTGAGCATAAGTGGATCTGGAACACCTTGAGAGTCTGTTGAGTATCTGGATACTAACCTTGGATGAAACCTTGTTCAAACGGCTCAGTGATGCTGACGAGATCTCCACCCTGATTCACACAATCCGCACGAGCGTCGGCCCACTTCCTCATGGACAGAGTAATAAACAGGTAGCAGTAATCATTAAACGGGTCTGCAACCCAGGAGCCGCACTTCGCATTCCAGCCTGAAAGAAGCAAACGAAATCAGTTCAAGAGCTCAGGCACAGACACGCAGAACGACCAGACGCTTACAGTCCGATACACAGAGACAGATATGTACCGTAAGACTGAGAAACAAACACAAATGTGTGAATGTCTCAGTGTTTGGTGTGTAGAGAGAGTCAGTAAAAAATCTGTACCTGGACCAGATGTTGGGGGAGGCGGTGGCCCTTGACCTTTTGCTGGAAAAAACAAACAAACACCGATGGAAAGAATTGACTGGAATGGATTTGGTGGGTTTAAAGTAGGTTAATAAAAACTAGTTTAACTAACTAGTGTAACTCACTAAAACAATTCTCTGATCAAGTCAAGTCACCTTTATTTTTATAGCGTTTTATACAATACAGAATGTGAAATCAATGTGTGATCAATATGTGTAATCAATAAAACAAACAAGTTAATTAAAAGACTGATCAAACAGGAAAACCTCCGATTGTTCCCACCTTTCTGGCAGATAAAGGGGTAAGTGGATGAGCAGGGCAGGTCGTTGAGTTTTCCTGTGTCCTGGTGCTCGGTCCCTCGAATGTGAACACAGTCTTCATTATTCTGCCAGTTATCCGGCTGGTTCGTCTCCCAGGGCTGGAAGTCCTACAGAGGCCAGAGAGAACAGACAAAGCTCCTCACACGCTTGACATGGAACGAAATAAAGCTTTAAATAACTGGATGCGGAACTGCCAAAATATTGTTCATCAGCCGAAGCTTTCTCACTTTGTGCGATCAAATGTATAAGTTTAATGTCTGATCACTTACTGCTTGAGTTCCATCGCTCCACACAAACGTTCCTTCTCTGTCGATGTCATTGAGACCCACCCATGAAGATCTGCTCATGTGTGCTGTGAGATCAGAGCAAAAACAAAGCGTCATGTACAGCGACGCTTGAACGCTTGGGAATTTTCTGTATGGGTTAAAATGATCTTTGATGAAGAACCGGTCTTCTATCGCACCTGTCAGAAAGCTGACGGTTTCTTGGTTGTGGATGCTGACCAGGTGTCCGTTCTGAGCCACACAGTAATTTTCTGCATCTTGCCAGTTCTTGACTGTTTCAGTCTCAAAGTGATAGCAGTGTTCACCGAAGAGCAGATAGCCTTCATCACAGTGTGAGTCTGCAGAAAAACATTCAGTGAACCATAGCAAAAACACAACCCTGACACTTCTACCATGATATTAATTCAACTACTTTTGACATTCTGTTTGTCTGTTCAGACCAATGTGGAAAAACCCTGGCAGACAGGACGAATGAAAATGCAAAATCACTCTCTGAAAGTAGACGGCTTCTTCCTATACTATTCACTGTTGCTTTGCAAATTAGCCTGTACATGAGCGCCAACAAGTCGTAGTTTTATGTAACAGCTCTGGCCATGTGACCAAAAGCGTGAATCCTATTGGTTGGCTAGTTTTCTTTTCAGTGTGACGGGAAAGAGATTAGAGCCCTTCTCTGTAAAACTGATGTCATGTGAAAGTTTGTGTCATTCAGAAAACAAGCATTAACAGCTGTTCATTCAGATCAAATGACAGTGTGGGACTTTCTGTAGTTTCACCTGGAGCCGCTGTGGGCTTCACATTCTGTCCTCCAGGCATCTTGCAAATATATCCCAGGTTTTTAAAGCAGTTCGTGGTTTCCCATTTTCCAGCATAGTTTCCTATTACAAGAAAACAAACAAACAGATTCAGCTCCATTTTTTCAAGGAAATCTTTTAAAGCTGACATTGTGTGTCTCTCTGCACTGAGTAACTCAACCGAGAATCTTACCGGTGTAAATCTGACCACAGTCCCACAGGTTTGCTGAGTTCTGAGGGAAATTTGGGCTCCAGTTTGAAAACTCCACTGCAGTTTTGTCCACCCACCTAAATGTGCCATCTTGGTCCTTATCTGTGTTATAATTCAGAAAGACAACACCGAGATGAGTGATGGAACCCAATGGACTGTTCACATTCAGATAACTGATGCAGATCATAGTAATTCTGGTCAGAGACCATCTTATGAACATTATGAACAGCAGCTACACTATTCATCCTCCATCTGCTTTTCTGTTTCTAACTAGAGATTATGCCAGCTCCAGACCGGATCTAGCCTCTTACGAAGATTTGAGATGACGCCAGTCCCTGCGAGGACTTAGAACTGAACACGTGACATTAACTAACTGCATGATTTTATAATTTTAGCACTGAACATTACTTTGACAGGCACCTCTGATAACAGATCACTCTTAACTGTAATGTAGAAACAATGTGTATTGTGAAAAGTGCTATACAAATAAATGTGAATTGAAATTTATTGCCTTTTAGGGGCAGACGTTTGGCTAAAATACACACTCTGTAACCCGCTGTTTAAGTCACTGAACTGAAGTTCACTTTTAAAACTTTTTTCTCCAATAGGAGCATTCAAAGAACTTCATTTTGATGAAGATTATGGTCAATTTTACAAGGGTAAAATGTTGTATTGTATGCATCGCTCACCTGAAATGCCAATCCACAGATCAGGTATATCTACCTGGTGAAAATCAGGCAACTGTGCGTTAATGAAGAACTGCTCCTCTTCACTAGAGATGAAAACAAACATGGAATATGAGTATGAATGTGACCCGTTACAATCCAAACAAATCTCCCTAAGCTTCAGTGCTCATTCTCACGTTTTGATGGTCACTAGGTTTGCACCCATGTCAAAGCACTTGGTCTGAGCCAGATACCAGCTGGTCAGGAGATTCTGGTTACTGACCACCCAATAACAGTTTCCTGAGAAACTCAACCATCCAGAAGGACAAACGGCTGGAGCGACAGAAACAGAAGAGCATATCACTGAACCGAAAACAACTGAAACGCACAGTTATAATGATTAAATGCATATATAACATTAACAACTGAATCATGCGCAAAATATTGCATCAGTGCACAAATACAAAATGAATTACAGAGCGATAATGTTTAGATCTTACTATTCAAAGCTTTCTTGCACATGTAAGGTCGCTCATAACGGCAGACGTGTGCTCTCCATTTCCCATAATCCTCTCCTGATTCTTTGATCATAGCAGTACACACACCGTTGGCTTTGTCACTGGGTTCAACAGTGAGAGTTTGAGTTATTATCACGCAGGTCAACACTTAAATGCTTCATTTTATTTGAGTGAAAAACACTTTCTTTGAGTCACAGTTTTGAGAAGAGCATAGTAAGAAAACTAACCAGGTACTATAACTAGTTTAGCAGTTGTCTTACGTGAGATCAGGCTGTCCTGCCGGCCAGTTTGTGTATGTGGACGTACTCGCATCAGACCAGGAGAAAGTCGTGGCATTTGGTTGTATTTGACAGGATAAAGTTGTGCATTTCTGTGAAAATAAGGGAAGTGAATACAGACAACATGCAATAGAAATATAACAGCAACGCAACTGTTTGAGCTGTGATTATTTAACATGTGACAAAATGTGGTAGTCTATTTAGATTTTTTAAAATTAAATGAAAAATAATTGGTCATGCACTGTACTGTCTTTGTTGTTTAAGAAATGATTCAACAGATTTCATTGAGGTGCATGTTGTGTATTAAATCAAGTGGTCCAGGGTTGATTTTACACAGACAGCGATGATTCTCACCATTGTGGAAAAGCCAATCCAGAGGTCAAAGGCGGACGTGTCCAGACGGCTTGTGACATACTGCTCCTCTTCAGAAGATGTGATTGACACCAGGTGTCCTCCGTCTCGGACACAGTCGCTGCGAGCCGCCACCCAGCTCTTCCGGACGCCTGCCCTTCGCTTGTAGCAGTTAGAGCCGAAGGCCTGCCAGCCGTTCACAGAGTCACAGACCGGAACTGGGTTCACTGGAGAGACAGAGGACAATATGTCACACACACACACACACACACACACACAAGCAGATACAGACGGGTGATATATGGAGTCAATAATAAGTAGATTATACGTACGGTTTGATCGTTTACAGATGTACTGCCGTCTGGCTGAGCAGGTTTCATCGTTCCATCTGCCTTCATTAGCTCCCAGAACCTGTCCACAATCCTCATTATCTGCCCAGTTGTCCGGCTGACCCTCCTTCCAATACCTGCAATTCACAGGATCAGAGTGTGCTCCTCAAACAGAACTGCATCATTTATCTGCAGACAAATCTGAGGGATCATCAGCGTGGAGAACTGCATCATTCCTCAGAGGGACCATACGTTCCTGCAAGAGCTCTAAAGACTCTATTTATCTGTACGATGTAGAGCTGCACACATTCAGAAATCAGCTGTAAAGGATCTCTAACTAAGAGTGAACTTCTGACTCACGACAGGTAGGGATAGAAAACAATCCCATCACTCCATTCCCAGTTCCCCTCGGACGCCACATCATTCAGTCCGATCCAGAAGATGGAGGAGCTGATCTGTGTCCGGACCCACGTCTGAACAGAACACAGACAGAAGAGATGTTAGATGTTAGATGTGATCTATTTCTGACCGTTGCTGTGGTGGTGTGCGTCTCACCCGCTCGTGAACGTCCTGGATGCTCATCAGATTACTTGCTTTACTGACACAGTCCTCCAGAGCGTCTTGCCACGACTTCATATCAGAGGAGAAGAAGTAGCATCTCTCGTCATACGACCGCCAGCCCTCCTCACACTGACTGAAGCCTTGGAGAAAACAGTGTGCTTATTGTTCTCATATTAATCACAAACCACACGAGGACAAAAATGAAAAAGAGAACAAATGAGAGAAACTGTGTTCAGCATAAAAAATCACAAGCCTTTTAAAGGGATCATTGCATCTACAGATAAACCTTGGGCAATAAATTCATTACACAGTTCCTCTAAAACAAGTTGTTTTATTATATTCGGCTAAAATCAAAGAGAGAGAAAATTTCTGCTTGCAAAAGACAATGGTCAAATTCTCCATAATAAAAATGCCTCATGACTGAGATGTAAAGCTGAAACATGAGTGTCATATGCACTGCTAATGTTTTACTGGAAACGGTATCATAAACAATCATATGTGACCCTGGACCACAACACCAGTCATAAGGGTCAATGTTTTGATTAATTAATACTCATCTGAAAGCTGAATAAATAATCTTTCCATTGATGTATGGTTTGTTAGGATAGGACAATATTTGAAAATCTGGAATCTGAGGGTGCAAAAAAATCTAAATATTGAGAAAATCATCTTTAAAGTTGTTCAGATGAAGTTCTTAGCAATGCATATTACTAATCAAAAATTAAGTTTTTATATATTTACGGTAGGAAACTTACAAAATATCTTCATGGAACATGATCTTTACTTAATATCCTAATGATTTTTGGCATAAAAGAAAAATGGATAATTTTGACCCATACAGTGTATTGTTGGCTATTGCTACAAATATACCTGTGCTGCTTATGACTGCTTTTGTGTCACAAATAATTCAAATGAACTCCTGCCAAAGAATCATCATTTTCTCCATTTACCTCGATTGTAAAGTCTTCAAAGTCAAATGACTGAGTAAAGACACAGAGCACAAATAAGGCTCACTTTTGTATCCCACTGCTTTTTCAAACTACCAGCGTTAGTGCACACCTAAAATGCCTACTTAATTTTGTTAAATTATTATTTAAGGTTTACTGCTAGATGTTATATGGATTTAAAAAATGTTTTTTAACATCTCTACATTCAGAAAAAATGGCCAAAAGATCTCATTATAGATTTAGTTTGTCGATCAACATTGTCAGAAAGTTAAACACATTTTCCACTTACCTTATATTCAAAACTGGAAAGAAATTCAAAATTTCAGACTATATTTTGAATCCTATTCACAGAGTGCCA